AGCCGTGACGGGGCAGATCCTCACAGGAATGTAGGTAAATATAAAATGCATCCGGATATAGAGCATACAACAACCGAGCCAATTTTGATCGCGCCCTACTCGAGTCAGATTTCGCAGTCATATATAATTTCCTCATTTCGGCGATTTTGGAGCTCTATAAGCCATCCAATCACAGCAAATCATTTATATTATCCCAGCAGCGTTGTTTGATAACACTGACAATCGTTGCTGTGGCGATATGAATCGATTTCTTTCATAGTGGGACTGTGCCCGGCAAGCTGCCGACCAGCTCCTGGTGCTGACCAATCAGCTTCCTCGAAGCTCCTATCGAAGTCGAGCGCCCATGCAAAACTGCGGTGGATGATGCGGGGGGACCGTCGTATCCGAACCGTCCGGATGACTTTTTCGCTTAAATTATATTAAAATGCGCTACACGGCCGCAGATCGGCGCTAGCGTCTCAACGCATGTAGCGCTCAGAGCACAGCTTTTCACGGCGCATGACGACAGCACTTTTCGATGGTACATGTGAGTCCTGCGAAACACATGAAACGAATGAGTCCTTCGAGGCGCATGAAACGAATTCAGATGCGCTGCGTGAGTGATCCAATAGTGCGATGTTGGCCAGGCCTTGAACACACAAACATGAAAACGGATGCCTTTCACGGCCTGCCTCAGGACAAAACTTTGCAGGCACTTTTACCACAAACTTTTCAACGCACTGACCAGGTCTGTTCACAACACTAGCCGCTGCAGACCTCCATTTAGAGCGTCGTCGCAAATCCTGTGGTGCGTGCATTTAGCCAATCGTCGCGCATCCATTTTACAATTGTGCGAGCGCCACAAGCCAGGATTTGCGAATACGCTCTAAATGGAGGTCTGCGGCGGCTCGTGTTGTACACAGACTTGATCAGCATGCTGCTCAGCGCACGCAATACCGTTAGCATCTCGTCGCGTTGACGGTGCTTGGCGCAGAGGTTCTCGACCTGCGCCGGTGAAATTTCGGTCGTCGCGCTCGCAAACACACTTGCAATCGCGGCCGTCTCTTCTGTCGTCAATGTCGTTGAAAAGTAGTGCTGTACGCCCCAGCGCGTGGTGTACCAGGCCAACTACCTCGGTACCGCGACAACGAACAACGAGGCCGAGTACGATGGTCTGATCACGGCGCTCCAGCTACCTCAGCGACTGGCAGTTACGTATCTCACGGTACGCGGCGCCAGCAGCAGTTGCTGATGCAGCAGATGAAGGGCATCTTCCGGGTCCTAGAGGCTCGCTTGCAGATACTGCATGTCCAGGTGCGGGAGCTCGCAGCATGTCTTATGTGCACATGGAAACACCACCCTCGCGAGTTCAACTAAGCAAGCCACGGATGATTCGTCCAAACTCGCACCCGACGACTGTACCGCGTACGCGCATTCCGACGACGGACGGCACGCTGTATTGCCGGCCGATGAACTCCAGCACGTTGAAGAGCTCTTGGTCGCAGACGTTCATCGCACATCTCGTACGTAAGTTTAAGTAGTTGGAGTCTTTAGTATGTACTACTAGTAAAGAGATTCAATCCATATCATATCAAATCAACATGCACCAAGCCGTGTTCTGCTACCTCTGGCCCATGCTCTGCGCCTGCATCTGGTTCGTCTGGCGAGTCCGGAACGATCGCGTCTTTCGCGACGTACCGCTGCCAATCCATTAACGATTGCCGTCAAGGCGGCTGAAACCGAAAGTGATTTCGGCTAGTCGGCAAATTAAACCGACTACGATAACCGGCTGGCGAACCGGTTCGGATAGCCGGCTGGCCGTGGGTGTGCGAGTCGGCTCTCGCTGGTCGTGTGTGTGTGTGTGTGTGTGTGTGTGTGTGTGTGTGTGTGTGTGTGTGTGTGTGGAAAACATCATCACCAAGTGCTACAGAGACATCATCACCAAGGGATTTTCTCCCTTGTGGTGACGCGTGCAATACCCACACTCCGAGTGACTAAAGATGGCGAAGTGATGAGCCATGATAGGCGGCGAAACCTACGAAGAAGCCCCCTTCTTGACTAGAACCTTGATGACTGAACCGTGGTCCACCCAGAGCAAAGGGTAGCAATCTGCGTTCCCAGAGGTCACTCTATAGAGCAATCGCGTGAGCTGTGAGGATAAACAGAGTGCTAATAGGATCATGGGCATCATCTCAAGCCTGGAAATTTCGAATGTGCCGGAGTAAGCCCCTCTGATGCGCGTCTGATAATAGTGCGTCGAATCAGATGCGCGAAACCGCTCCCTTTGGATACTTTTTTGTAATTTGGCTGCGATCCTTATCGTGCCATCTTCACAATCCAGTGACAGAGTGTATGCATCACATTTGTTCCCAGATGGGTGCAGCTGCATACGACCAAAACCAGATTTCTATCGCATATGCACTGCTTGGGCTCTTGCTTGCTCTAATTCTGACACAGCTACTCGCCGGACCCAGACAGCGATATCTATGTGCGTGTGCTGTTGATCCTCATACAATCTGTGTCGCGTCAGAAACACCCCTTCTTTCCATCGCAATGCCATCGAACGACTTCATTTTCGCCTTTGCCACATGCAGCTCACGACCTTGCTCTTCTGCCTTGCCTCGGCGTCGGCCGCTATCTTTCGCCAGCTCCCAGACGGCCGCGAGCGCACGCAGGAGGAGCTCCGCGCCGTGGCCGACGACGCTGACGTGAACCGCAAGTGCCACCTCCAGAACGCCAACTACATTCCGTCGCTGACGCCAGGCAAGTACGTGGACTCGGCGTTCCACAACTGCTTTCGCACCGCGGCCCAGATCGACGAGCTCTTCAACACGTTCGTGGCACAAAACCCAAAGAACGTCTTCAAGGAGGCGGTTGCCAATACGACGCGCGGCCAGACGATCTACGCCTACACGCTGCGCAACGGGCCGCCGAAGCAGCAAGCGATTTACGTGCAGAGTCTCATCCACGCCCGCGAGTGGGTGGCCGGCTCGTCCAACTTTTACACCGCCTCCAAGCTCCTCGACGACATTGTCAACAAGGTGCCGAGTGTCACGGACGCCTACGACGTGATTGTGGTCCCGATCTTCAACCGCGACGGGTACGACCTCACGTGGTCCGGCACGCGGTACCAGCGCAAGAACGCCAACGGCGTCGACCTCAACCGCAACTATCCGGGGCCGTTCGACAACCCACGGCCGCCATTGCCGTCGGCCGACGACTACCCGGGCCCGCGCCCGCTCAGCGAAGTCGAAAGTCGCACACTGCACCAGTGGCTCAGCGCCAAGCCCCAAGGGTACCTCGCGGGCTTGATTGATCTTCACGCGTACGCTGGCCTTGTCTTGATTCCAGTCGGCGACACGGAAGACAAGCTGCCAGTCGATGGGAAGCTCAAGACATTGGGGACTCGCCTGGGAAGCGCCCTTGGCGGCTACAAGTCGGGACGGCCGTATGAACTTCTCTACAAGGCGTACCATACGTTCCAGGACTATGGGTTTCGCACATACAGCGTGCCGTCGATCACGATCGAGATGAAGGGCAATGACTTTGTCGCGCCGGCCTCGACGATCCGGACCCGCGGCCTGGAAATCTACAAGGGCCTCACGCAGTACGCCAAGGAAGTCGCGATCTACGCCAAGACGCGCGACCTCTAAGGTCTATCTCGATGCGTTAAGATGTTTGTCGTCTTGCAGTAACGATATTTCGTTTCCGAGTTGTATCGTTTGTATTCAGGGTCAGAAAAAGAGAACTCTGGTGCAGAATTATATAGCCGAGAAATGGGCTATATGTGTCGAAAGCACCGCGTTGGCCAGTTGATTTGGTTGAAAACAACTTGCGTTGGAGACAAAGTTGCATTTGTTGGCTTTTTGTACTCGGACGGGGCGACGTGAGATAGTCCACGGTTGGACATCCCAACCGCGCTACGGCGTCCATACACCACCAACACGTGGAAGAGTTGTCCATTGCGCCGTTCTTCACTTAATAGGTTTGCTTACTAGAATCGTACCGAGCAGGCAAAAGTTTACCACATGGAGATTTACTTGACCGCCTTGTCGGTTGGCGGCGTGGCAGTCGCGAGACCATAGAGGCTGTTGAGCGCCATGACAAGGACAGCGGCGGTGCCGACCATCCATGCGTTGCCGCGGTGGGGCTGCAACCCTTGCGCATACGCATACGTGTGGTAGACACGAGCGGCCGTAAACGTGCCGAGCGCGCATGTCGTGACCGCCTCGACGCCGCCCGACTGGACGGCGCCCCACGCGACAATGAGGCCGATTGGGATGTTTTCAAGGTCGTTGCGCACGATGCGCTCCCAGCGAATGTCCTGTTCGCGGGCGGCGGTCGTCGCCGCCGCCGTGTCGACGCCAAAGGTCTGCGCCTGCTTGGTCGGGTTGAACTGCTTGAAGATCTTGTCCTCGGGCGGACGGCTACCCGCGGCGAACCGCTTCCCGCCTTGAATCGCCGTCGTCAAGAGACACTTGGTGTAGAGCACAACGCTGCTCGCGACCCACGCCTTGGACGCTCCGAGCATCGTTGATTTTTTAAAGCTTCGCTGGAAGTCGCAACATAGTTTTAGTGTCAGATGGTAAATAGTGTGAAATGACGTGGCAGCGCCTGCGATGGATCATTTTGACGCGGCCGTTGGCATCGAAATCTGCCTCGTACATGCAGAGTATTTTTCAACAAGCCATACGACTTTATACAATTCAACGACGACAGAGACGGGGTCTTTTCAGGCGCTGCTAAGAAGTCGACTTTTCGCCGACCAGATAGACTCCCAATGGCTATCTGTCAATCGAATCACCTATTGTCCCACTCGAGCGGCGCTCTTGTGGAAGGCGAGGCAGGCGCTTGATGCGTAGTATCTTCCTCTCTCAAAGGCCGAGCGCTTTTAGGGACATCGAATGTATTGGTGCGCCTGCCCGGTCGGTGGTGGCCGGCAGGTGTAGCTTTATGCTACGGGCTTCACATCGGTGAATGGTTCGTGAGCCGGTTGGTGTTGTTCGGACTTTGTGAGCCGTTGCACGACGATGAGCGACATGCGCCTGGGCTCCCGTCTCATTGCAACTTCGAGAACCCGGAAGACGGCGTCAGTGGCGGGCCTACGAGCACCCACCGTGCACAGTCACAGGCCTCTATCGACGACTTCTCGCTGAACACCTCTTTTACTACTTTCAAATGGTCCTGACGTGGGCTCCACTACAGGTTTCGCGCCATCGTTGGCAACCTATTGGCAGCATTGTGAATGTACCACACAAACGCTGTAGCCTACTAGAGCGTACGCATGAAAAATCGGTGTCGCTATGACGAGTAGAATGTAGCCTCGATCATCCGCCGTGCTGGGCTCAGAACGTGCGCTACATCCATCCTTGTATACACGCACGAGGCGCTTCGCTGTACACCCGCTTGTGCTCCCTCATCAGGAACGAGCTACATCGCTATCAGGTTGGCGCCCTCTCCGCTGTGGATTGCTATCAGTTTTGGCGCCAAGCGATCATACCGTGCGATCAGCTTTCCTGCTGTACCCACACATACGAACCGAATGAGCCAATCAGATCGTTTTGCGTTGTGTCAATGTGGAACATGTCGCAATTGTTGCTGTGACCCATTGTGCCAACTTAGCTTGGCGAGCTAGTCACTTGCCATTTTGTTTCCTTCATGGACGCGACCCACCACCTCACGTACAGAGTCGACGACGTTGAATACGTCGCTGTCTACGACACGACCGTGCAGCACATTCCGCTGCGCAAGGACCTCTCGCACCTTCGGCCGCCGCCGCCACGCCTCACAGACAAGCGCGACATCTTCATTGGCGTCACCGCCTACCGCGACGGCGTCAAGTGCGGCTTTACACTGTGGACGGCCTTTTCTCGGGCGGCCCACCCCGAACGCGTCTTCTTCGGCGTTGTCGACCAGACCCTCGACGGCGACGTTGCCTGCTTCAATGCCTACTGCGAGCGCGCGCGCGAGACGTGGCCAGACGAGCCGTGCAAGTACCAATCGCAGATCAAGATCGACGCGCGGTCGGCAACCACCTCGAAAGGCCCGGTGGTGTCCCGCGCGCAGCTGTACCCGCTCCTCGGCGACCAAGGGTTTAGCATGATGATCGACTCGCACGTGCAGTTTGCGCAGAAGTGGGACGACTTGATCATTGCCGAGTGGGCAGCGACGGAGAACGAGATGGCCGTGCTCTCCAACTACCCGATCAATTACGACCACTTGGATGCAGACGCGACGTTTACGGGCAACTACGCCCCCCACGTGTGTAACTTTATGCCGCGCCCGGCCGCCAGCTCCGTCATCTACTACTCGGGCATCCTTGTTGCGTACAACTTTGAGCACCCGCTCTTGTCGGTGTCGTGGGCTGGCGGCTTTTCGTTTGGGAAGAGCCACTCGTGGCATCGCGCCCCCATGGACCCGTACATGAACTGGGTCTTCTGGGGCGAAGAGTTCCTGCACGCGTACCAGCTCTGGACCCGGGGCTACGACATGTACTCGCCGAGCCGCCATGGTAACGTGGTCTTTCACAACTGGACCGACAACGGCGACAAGCACCGGTACGCATGGGTCTTTTGTGTTGACGATGGACACAATATCGTCTGTAGATTTACCGACAATGTGACACGCGTGACCACGCAAGCCGAGCACGACCGAGAAGAAGCCATGGCGTACAACCGGTTCCATTTGATCTTTCAGCAACCGTTCAGCGGCGAGGTCGACTCGCGCGAGATCGACAAGTACGGCAGCGGCAGCGTGCGGTCCCGCGAGCAGTTTATGAAGTTTTCCAACATCTCAATGACGAACGCCCGCAAGGACTTTGCCGCGTGCAACCAGCTGCACTTTGTGCCGTACACGGACCCGACCGAGCTCGAGGCGCTGCTTCCAGGGTGGCGCTTCGCCGACTCGACGGGCCTTTTGAGAACAGACGCTGTCACCGTCAACAACTCGGTGCTCCACGACCTGCGAGGCAAACTCGACGACGCCGAGACGACGGTGACGCAGCTGCGTCACGCCGTGGAGGCCGCGCGCCTCGAACAGACGACGGGGTTCCAACTTCTTGAGACCGCGCGCAAGGAGCTCGAGGAAAAAGAGCAGGCGACGCTGCGCGAGATGCAGCTCACGGTGACGCAGCTGCGTCACGCCGTGGAGGCCGCGCGCCTTGAACAGACGACGGGGTTCCAACTCCTTGAGACCGCGCGCAAGGAGCTCGAGGAAAAAGAGCAAGCAACATTGCGCGAAGTGCAGCTCACGCTCGAGAAGGTCGCACAGCACAACAGCCGTGCCATCAGTGGCGTGAGCCTGCGCCTGCGCCAGATCCAGGAAACGTCCACGCAAGTCTACACCGAGCTCGCGTTGGTGGTCTTGGTACTGGTGACGGTGCTCACCGCCCTCTTTGGTCGCTGCTGGGGCAAGCGCGGATCGAAATCGGTCAGCTACACCAAGCTTGAATCGACCGACTGAGCGCTCTGGCGACGTGACTATCTTCATTTATGTATCTCTTCCTAGTGCAAGAGAGTAGTAGATCATTCATTAAATCATTTATTATTTGTGTGCATCAACCCTGTTTGTTACACAACACGGAAACAAATCCGTGGGTCCGCAGATGTAGCCAATCATCGCACGTCGACACGACGTTAGACACTTATTGACGCTACCTGAAGGATTGGACAACACTATGAAAGCACACTGTCATAGAAGAAGTGTCTTACCTCCCTTTAGGGGGTGGCTCTATCCTGTCGAACGTAGTTGCTCATGTTGTGTTTCCTTTCTCCAACATCAACGCACCGGGTCCCATTGACAGATCAGTGTTCGCCGACGTCGTGCCCCGTCAAGGACGCGCTTGCAGCTACCGACCCGCCACCTGGGCATCGATGAAGCCTTCTACGAGACGCCGTAGCCGCCACAGCCGAGCTCTGGCCATCTTACCCAAGCACGCCGACTTCGTCTACCAAGTGACGCTCCGTGCGGTCAAGTTCCGCGCACATTTGCACTGGCTCGACAGGGCCGACCAAGCGTGCTTCTT